TGTACAATATGCGTTTTAAAATAATTAATACATTATATACCTAATATAATATAATAAAAAAATATTAAGTAAGTCTAATAAAAGTATATTATACATTTAAAGTGCATAAAAGTTTTTTAATACTACTAAATTGTATTTTGTTAAAAAGTTTGATTTTCAGTATAATGTAAATTATAATAAAAACATATACAAACAACCATCTGACTAGTTCACTTTTTTAAAAAGGAAAACTTTCCTATAAAACTAATACCAGATAATCTTCAACGATGATTTTATTATTATTTACTTTTTCAAGCCATTCTTACATAATGACGAAAAAACCTAGGGTCAACATGTCATTAAAAATAATTTATTTAGTTTTTAATATGTGTTTCACTTTTAAACGGTGTTTAATTCCAATTCCCAGACACATCTTTATCTATACAAATATTTAGATAATAAACTGAATAGTAATAACTAATAAGTATGTTAATAGTTTGATAGTATAAGGGCATAGGGTTACATCTGAACTAGTATCGATATTTAATTGGGCAAATATTATGCCATCTCTCCCTTATACTATGTATCTTTATTAAATAAGATAATGCTGACGTCTGAAAATTTCAATAATAGGTATGTAACTATTTCGTAAATGATTATAGCATTAAGCTATTAAATCCATATTTTAATTTAAAATGTATTCTATTCTGATTATCATGAAAACCAAATTCTACTTATTATATGGATTGACAAATATGTTTTATGATAACATTTTAATATCTTTAAATTATTTATATTGTGTAGGTATAATAGACAGATAGTAAGACGTACTCTTAACAATATCGTATAATACAAACAACAAATATTATATTTAATAATTATTTGTACAAAAAAAAAATAAAGTATTTCATGTACTTTAAAATTAAACTTCATTTTAAGTTACACAAATAAATATTGAATTATTGCAAAAGCATCTTACATAATCTTGATGTAAAACAACGATAATTTAAATTTTAAATTTACGTAATTGTGTAGCCACATTTCTGGAGACTTGTTAATGGTTGAATAACGTCCATCAAAAATGAACAATAAAAAAATAAATATGACTTGCGATTTCCATCGTATTGTGTTTATCTTGGATTTGCACGTTTTGTTCGGTGATTGTTTCGCTTCAATGGTGGTGTAGACCAATCAACCACAATGACGCATTAAAGATAAATCCTTTCCAAATTTTATAACTTTTGCCTTGGGTGAGATAAAACTTCACAAAATCACTGAATTTGGATTCCGGGTAATTCTAACGAATAATCAGAACAAAACGTTTTGATACTGCATAATAAAATTGTAGGTACTTTAAATGTTAACAAAAGTGATTTGAAATACAAACAATACGTTTAACAAAATAATTATACATTTTATACAAATATATTAAAGTTTTTCCGATCATACTCTCCTCCCTTACAAATCGTATAATTTTGAAATCAATTCCATTTATCATACTTCACAATATACATTAAAGTCCGTCAAAAATGTCTAAATATTTAAATCTCTCGCCTCTTAAATCGTCTAAAATAATTATAGAAGATTGTTGCATGTAGGATGTGCACAAAGTATAATATAAGCTAGATAAAAATAAAAATGCATTGTTTTTTTATGATACAGATTTAACTGAGCAAAATTATTGATATTTCATATCAAATGTACATTATTGAATGTACTTTAATATTAGTTAAAGGCACAATTTATGAAATGAAGTGAACATGCATTTCAAAATATTAATCATCAAATTTTTCATTTAATCTTTCATTGCGGATCACTGATTCCATTATCCATAAACCCATATGAAGACAGTCACATAGATAAATAACTTTAATGACGAACTTACTTACACTCATCCTTCTTCAGTTTTCGTTTTACAGTTTATTCTATGTATGTGGAAACTACCTACGAAATATTTAGTGTCACAGTATTTTTCAATCATTTTTTGTAGAACAAATATTATTTTCAACTTATCTTACATTTAAATTGTATATAGTAAACAATTTACGCAATAATCCTCTTGTGTATCAAACTAATATTATACTTGTGTAAAAATGTAATATTAGTATCATGTAATAGTTGAATGTACGGTGTACTTTGGTAAAACTGATTGTACATTTATATACATATATTCTTTTATTTAAGTCATAAATCTAAAATTTTGAAATATTATGAATACAACATGACGAATTAATATAATATAAAGTCACTGTGACTATTATAAATGCATATTTCCTCTCTGTATATAGCTAAAAGGTGCCTTAACAACTTTTACCAGTTATACCCTTATCACCGGACCAATTATTTCGGTTGACATTGTCTTAACTACGTATATTATTAACACCTTCTCACTAGACTGTAAAAAATGAACCGACGCACCTAATTGGCGCTTTGGTGACAACCGCAGAAATCAGTGATACACTGAGAACAAAAAAAGAGTTTTCTGTTTTAAAGTTAACAACTACGACTAGAAGCGATAGTTACTTATCCACAATAGATATGTGATGTATTACAAAATACATCGTAAACATAATATCAAGTTACAATAATTCATGTTTATTGATATATTATGAGTACAGCAAACATAAATGAATTAAAGTTATTCGATTACTATAGTACCTGGCGACTACAGCTGATATTGTCATTCCATTCTCCGCGTAGAATCATTAGGATAAATGTTTAAATATTATTTTAAAAAACACAAAGGTCAATATTGCTACCTAGTGGTTTTACGTTACGTATTCCGTTTCACATATATCGCATGTACGTTATACGTAGTTTATCAAAGCTGCTTGAGTGTTTGACAAGAAAAATATCATCGAGAAATCAGTTCAAAACATACAAATGTCGTATTTGCACTTTTCCGGGGAGCAAATCGTCTCGATCTAACAGAAACTTACACCGTAGGTTTGTATTTTATGGTATATTTTCAAATTTATCATTTCAATTGTCGTGCAGTTTTCTACTGTATTTTTTTTCTTGTTTATTACTCATGTCGAGCAACCAAAAAATAATATGACTTTGCGGCAGTGGCTTTGTATACATGTATATTATTTTTATACGACACCTCATCATTTATCCGTCTGGCATCGGGGAAAAATATATTTTCGCTACTGCCTCTTGGGGAAAACACATTCGCCAACCTCACATAATATGTGCCACCACTACTTACTTTTTTCGCGATTTCGTGATGTCCCCCGAAAGATGTTCCACGACACCAACATCAACGTCAACAAGTGAGGACATCTCAGCATTTAGCGATGATGATAATTAATTTCTACCGTGGTAGATTGTCGTAACAAAGTTAATTTATTCTGTCAGCCTATTTAAACACCCCAGAGGGACAATTTTCCATATAAGCATTATTTTCCGAACCGATAACAATAAAGGACTAATGAAACTTCATTGTCTTCACCCATTCAACGGGTTCTGTTTGTCGGCTGATAATAATTTCCAATATAAACATCACAGATCCAATGCCCTTATAAACATAAAAAATAAACACTATTACGTTTTCTTCGTAATAATGAAAAATGTGATTTTTTTTACTCATTAACATTTTAACTTTTCGACACTGTATATTTTTGCTGCAAAGCAAAACGTTTTAGTTAGAACGATTGCCTATAATATAATTTGTTTCTGAAATTAAAAATGTATGAAACTATAAATTTAAGTAATTTATACATTTTATTTCAATTATAATATAATAAAAATAAAAACTATACAATGAAATATATTCTTATTAGAATTTATTAGTTTTGAAATTCCGGTTATAATTCAATAACTAATTTGTTAATTAATTAATTCTGAAATTATATTGTATATTTGTATTTTATAAACGACCATGATTATAATTTAAACTTAAGTAACCTAAATCCCAAATTATACGAAATCGAGTAAATTATTTTTTAAACTTATGTGTAATTAAATGATCAAGATAACCCTCTTTTTAACAGTAATTTGTATATACTTTTTTCTTGCTGAAAACATTTTCTTTTAAGCTATACCCTACACATATAAAAGTTCTTTTTTATTCGACGACTAAAATACATAGAAAATGGGTTATGGGCGGAATAATAATGGAAACACTTTGGTAAAAATAACGAATTCTAAAACTGTGGTATGAATACATTTTTTAAAGTTTTTTTTTCTTATTTGTACATTTTATTTTAAAAACCAACGAAAAAACTGTACAAAATAAAAGATTTATAAATATTCGCCTTCATTTAATCATTTAATAATAAACTTAAAACTTGAATACTGAATAACACTTTGTGTCCTTCCGATTAACAATAAAAAAAAACACTTTTTTTATAGTGCAAGAAAATGCATTAATGTGTGTATATTTGTACATAATATTTAGTATGTTATGCTGTCAACATTTGATAACTTTTTTCTACATATTTGTAAAATATATCTAGTTTAATCAAAAAAAAAACTGTCGTGTAAATAATTTTAAAAAAGTATGTTTGAATAAAAATAAAACTTTTTAAAAACTTTTATTATTTTTCTAAAATAAAATGCCAAAATAAAAAAATCAATAAATATTTATATGTAAGATTGCAATTTACAACTCAATTTTGAAGATAAATATAAGTATTTAAAAGATAAGTATTTTCTAATAGTCTAGTGTCTCGTAAAAACACTTTTGCCCCTATATATGTATCTAGATATATTCATATATTTCGGAATCTCGTGGCTGAAAAATTAGACATTATTACTTATCAATAATAAAAAAGCCAAATAAATTGGATTTTTTTTTTAAACTTTAGGTACTATAACAACCTTTGTATTAATACAAATAGTTAATTAGCAAGTTAATTTTAAACACAATATAAAACAATTCAAAATTAATTAGTTGCATAATTTACAAAACAACAAATAACTTGACGCAAAGCCTGATATCACAATGAAAACTGTAATATTGAAGCCGGACCATGGAAGTAGAACATTTTAAAATTGAGTGTTAATTTATTTTTTAGGTGAAAATGCATCACAGTTGTCGCATGTGGATTTTAGTCATCGCAACAGCGGTATGGACGGACGCAATCACAGGACACGAGGACAAAGTCGGGATTAAAAATCAACAGGTGCAGCAACAGCAACAATCTGATGTCATGCAAACAATGGCGGAAGGTGGTGGACATCAGTCAATGCAGATGACATCTCCGGCAGAAAGTTACTTCAATGTCCCACTGGGCCCGTTGGGCTATTTGGCCAAACGCGCGCACAAGCAGTACGGATTTGGACTCGGAAAACGTCTTTACCGACAATACGAGTTCGGATTGGGCAAACGGTCGGCATCTAAGCAGTACGGATTCGGTCTGGGTAAACGGGCTGCGCTCAAGCAGTACGAGTTCGGCTTGGGAAAACGCGCTTCGCCGACTTTCTACAGTTTTGGTCTGGGACGGCGGGCTTCTCCACAGTACAGTTTTGGACTCGGAAAAAGGGTGAGATCTCCAGACACTGTAAATATCAATTTTTTTTTCTAATATGAAATACAATATCTTATTGATTCATTAATTCGACACGAAATAAAATAAGAGAGTTACTAATTTATTTCTAAAAACTGTACTTGGTTTATTTAGGTAATTTTTCTTTTGTCACTTAAAAAAGGATGAAAAACAGATTTTAGTAGTGATAAATATTATTAATTTTTGTTAACAACTGAGCTTGGATATCAAAGAAAAAATTAAGTTGCTGTCAATGATTGATTTAAATTGTATCGAAACTCGAGCGACATACCTAGTGCCCTAATTCTAACAAAGTATCATAATGCAGAAAACATTGTAAAAAAAGTTAATTTAACCAAAGAAACTAATAGGTACCAGAGTTACCTATATTTACATTTTTTAGCACGTCGTGTATGAAGATCGAAGGGTTAAGTATTGTACTAAATTACACATTAACAAATGAGTACGTTTAAGGAAGCTATGGAAACTAGTTCGATAGTTAATGTGACGATTTCGGACCCGAATGTATATTAAAATACCTATGGCTACATGATACTAGTTCATAACAACGATTGATCGTCATTGCTCATTGTCCATTGAAAATTGTAACACATATTTTCCCATAGGTAGGTACTAAAAACATCGACAACAAGATTTCTAAATTGTATTTTTATACCAACTCAGTACATTATTTATCAACGTTTTTTTACATACTACGATATTTAAAAAAAAAAAAGTAGGTGCCTGATGTACTTCGAGATGTAGTGTAACTTCACAATATCATTATTAATTATATTAGCTACAATATATCTTGTGTTAATGGTTGTTAATTGTTATGCGCTTATTCAGACTAATACCTACATAGTTGATACAGTGTGCTCTATGCACAGATCCGATATAATATAATTTATAATGCTTTGAAAATAATTTAAGTCGGTCAAACAAAAAAAAATTGGTTTGCTTTAAGTTTTAACCAAAATTAATTAAAACATTAAACCAAACTATATTTTTCCAAGTAAAATAAAATGTAATGTTTGAGTTGTTTTTATTTCTACAATTATATTTGAAACACTTTTCGTTGAATTAATTAGTTTTGTGGATCTTAAAAGTGACAGGGAGAGAAAATTGAATCGTTTTTTGATTAAAATTTCAATTAAATATTTTGCAGTAGTAATTTAATTGTACCTTAATCGTTCGACCATTAATTTGTTGCTATGAAAATAAAATAAACAAAATATATAATATTATTTAATCATACAACTTTTTAAAATATAATGATAGTTAGTATAAATAACAATATTATGGTTACATTTATTAAAATGTAACGTTTTAGAGTTATTCGGAGGCACAGATATTAAATGATTAAACATTTTATGCCACATACACTGTATATACAAACCTAATTTAATATTAGTCGCACCCTATAATATTAAAAAGGCTGATATTATAATTTTATATCATAGTTTAAACAAATCTAGTATGTAATTAATAATAATTGTCTTTGATTCAATGGCGTTTTATAATGAATACAACAATATATGTACGGTATTTTATAATAGGACATTGGAATGCACATTGTACTTTTATGGATGTTTTTATCATCGAATAGAGTGACTCTGTGCTACTGGTGCAAATAATATATTTTTTTTAATATTATGTTATTGATAGCTGTATTAGAGTTGTACAAATCATAATATCCGTTTTCACTTGAACTATTACAGTAACAAAATTAGTGTAGTCGAACGTGGCATTAAAAACTAAAGTACCTACCTACTGCGTCATAGGTTTTTCGTACAAAATTAATATCAGTAATTAATCGTAAACGCTTCATTATTATTTTTCATTACATTTAAGTATCAATAAAGTTTGAGAAGTACTTTTGAATACAAACGAAATTAAGCTGTGCTCATACGGCAAATACACTAGTACACTAATAAACAGGGAATAAAATATATTTTATTGTAAACACCAAAATACAGTAGTGTTAATACACTATTGTAAACAGAATGACAATCATATATTATGTTGAATATAATGAATACAAGCCCGGATTAAGGGGGAGAGCCAGAGATACGAACGATCGATCTAATGATGTGAGTAAGTTTTCTGAAAACAGATTTGGATTTGTCGGAGTTTATACTTGAAATCGACTATCCCACATCCTTGATTTTTTTTTGCCCTAAGTTTACGCAAAGACAAACTGAGTTCCCAATTTTTCAATTCACTTTTGAATGACTTATAAAGATAAAACAAAATTTCGAAAGGAAGATTCGATCCGAAGTAGTCTTTAGAGAAATTCAAACCAGGATCCTTATTGTATCACTGAACATGTCAAGAAAATCATCATTCTCAATCTTCTTATGGTAACAGAACTGTATTTTCATTTTTTATTTTCGTCTCTAGGCCGTCAGTGGACTTAAATTGGTTGAATTTGTATAACTGTACTTTGTTATCATTTATAGTATTATGCACATATAATAACAAAACTATTAATGGATATTATGGTCAACAGGTGTCGCACCCGTCATTCTTAAACGTGGACGACCGTGAATCGGACTACACGTACAACGACTTGTCGGAGGAGAAGAAGAGGACGGCGGACGACATGGGTCACGGCCAGCGGTTCGCTTTCGGGCTGGGCAAACGAGGAGCGGGGGCGGAATGGGATGACGGCGACGGCGAAGGCGACGACACGGCGCCCATCTGGCACCCGGCCGTCAGGCGGGCTCGTCTCCAATACGGTTTCGGGCTGGGCAAAAGAGCCGACCGCGACTATGACGCCACCACCGGAACTGAGTACGCGGATACGCTGCAGTTGGCCGATGACGTAGCCGCCGCCGACATCAACAACTAAAATAAATGACATATTTTCACCCGAACAACACACACTCAGACACACACACACACACACACACACACACACACACACACACACACACACACACACACACACACACATACGTACATACATGCATACAACATACAAAACATACAGTGGTAAACGTATTATAGGTGGAGGTTAGTGGGGAGGGGGGAAGGGTTTGCCCCCAAGTACAATTTGACTTCGACGTTTGACGGATATCGTTATTTCCTAGCATGATGTAATACGAGAACGATCTGCTATTCACTCAAAATATAGTTTTCATCTTTGGCCAGACTCCTCGACCCATGTCGTCCTGGACAATAACAATCCAACAGTTCAACACATTTTTGATTTTTTGTTGTTATTGAAGTATTTTAATGTATTTGATCATTATCATAATGTGTTGTGTGTATCATAGTTTATCGCACGAAATAGCCAATCGATAATATTAACAATAAAGGACATGAAAAACATTTAAAATATTATAGTGGTTCGAGTGTTTGTTTGCCTTTTTTAAATAAACGGACTGTTTGAAAAGAAAATTAAGCCTCCCTAGCATTTGACTTAATCTCCACCTATGAAACGTATAAGGTCATATTTTTAAAAAATCAGTCTCTACAGGCAGCTCGCTGAAACATATTATCAAAAAAAATTTTTAATTAAATTACAACAATAAAGAAAACAGACCAAATATTTATTTTTTGTTTTTTTTTTCTCACAGTGCCAAATTATAAAAATTATAAAAATATAACATAATATATCGTGCGTATATAATATAATATAATATACACACGTACGACTTTCGATTGCTTATTATTAATAATACGATTATTTAATAGTCTAAGATTATGTCTGTATGTGATTTGTATTGTTATAACGTGGATTTTACGGATTGATTTTACCTAACGGGTTAAAACTTAATATTACTTTTATCATTGTTTATAGAAAGTCGTCTATAGTCCAATAATCAATAATTATTCTTGTATCAAAAACAATTGTACATTTCTAAAATACCTACTATACCAGATACTTACCAATATTACTGCGCGCTTATTCCTCGTAACAGTTAATTTGCATATTATAATTTGAACATTTTGAACGCAATACCGTCTCAGACGTACGCGTATAGTAACAGGTATTATATTACTATTTTAGTGATCCTGTCCTAGAAAAGGGTATCTTTAAATCTATTTTAACGTTAACGGTGATGAAATAAGTATGAATCTTAGTTGAGTCAATTTGAACGAAATAAACATATACATATATATACTCTTGACATCTATGTTATTTTCTCTATACTAATATTGTTTTGCGAAGCCCAACCGATGTGTCGTCTGCGGCGATAATTAATGAAAAGTCAAAATCAAATACGAAAAATCCGAGCAATGTGCGTACCTATTATTTGTGGGTTTATTTTATGAACAAAATATTAAACATGACATTTTAGTTGAAATAAATCTCACATCCTTGCAGTAATATGGTTTGTAAATTATGATATTCTATATTATACTGACACGTATTTGTTGCGTTTCTTTATACACAACATATTGACATTGTAAAATTATACGCAAAATTCAGTTATGTAAGACTAATCATAATATGAATGTCTTAACGTTAAAACTACAACTATAATCAGTATATATTATATAATCATATTATTCCTACATATAAATATAAAATATAGTATTATAAAGTCTAATCGCTTTAATATAACAGCTTACAAATAAATAATATTCTATTAATTCATATTTTATTATTATTTGGAACTACAGTTAATAATATTTATCTACTTATATAAATATACCTAGACTATATTCAACTGAAATATTATTTAATATACACTTTTATAGATACGCTACCTACATATTGTAATAACCATAATACTAAACTAGAATATTATTGTATAATAAGTAATAACTATAATAAAAATAAAACCCTCCCGAAAAATTACCTTTAATAGTATGATATGTTTGTCGATAACTTTATATTATCGATAGCTGAAATTGTTTTTTTTAGTCCCTTACACTTTTAGTTGTGGTTATTATACTGTATAAACAACTTTATTTATTATTTCATTGCTGTATCTGATTTTAATATCCAAAACTACTAATAAATTTCACATTAAAACTGTGTAGTTTCTTGTATTTAAATTCAAAAGAACAATGTTATATTGTTTACTATTAACTTCAGTCCCATAATTATTATTATTACGATCGTCATAAAAATTACTTGGATCATTTTCTTGTAAAAATTGGTTTCTCTTTCCTAATTGTATTATGGTTTTATACTTGTATGCAACCATAAAATATTATTTCAAACACTTTCAATTTATAAACGGAAAATGTTAAGACTGGTGGCCGACAGTCGATCACTCGTATTGTATCGCTACTGGCTGGTCTTAGTATAAACAAATTAATAGTTATAGTTTATTGTTTTAAAGTTTTAAATTAAAAACTAAAATAACGGTAAAGTATGGCATCTGTAAAACGATCGAAGTTGGAGCTTGCCAGCTTGGCATACTATAATGTAGTTACTATGTATGAATAGCGCATTAAACAGATATATAAAACAGAAAATATGTACTCAAAAAAAACATGTTAGGATTTTAAATTCTCTAAACACAATTTAGAAATTTTAATAAACATCATAGGTACTAAAACTATTAATACCAAAACTATTAATATTGCTGAAAAAAATTCTTAAAATAATACTTAGAATACAATACAGAAATCAATCATTCGAAGTACCGGCTGTTATCAACATAGAGATAATAAGAATATAAAAATAAAAAAATAACATTATTATTAAAAAAATATTAACCATCAAAAAGTACATATATTTTATACATAGGTACTCAGTGCCGTAACATTTGAGGTTGGCTACATGGTCTATCGTCATTCGCCTAAAATACAGACAGGAATTAGGACACAAAACCCACAAAATTATAATAATAATTATAGTTTTTTATGGACAATTTGTAAAACATTTATTTAATTTTTTAGCAACGATTCGGAAAAATAACTGTCATGAGTTTGTACAGCTTATGAGCTTTGTACATATTATTATTTAGGTTATTTAGGTATACCGTACTATATGTATTCCAACAAAATAATTACACAACGATAAAGAATACAATATGCTCATAACTCACCCAGAGGTACCTAAAACAACTAAAGTTTTGTTTTTCTAAACTAAGAGGTAAGTACAATGGCTACGGAAATGTATATGCTGAATAGTATATTTAGATACAAAGTAAACAAATTTGATAAGTAAATAAATACATTGTTTTAATAATGAAATGATGATGATTGTGGTGTCAAAATAAAATGCATTGGATATTTTTAAATTTAATAACAACCAACAATACAATTTTAAAAAAACATCATCATTTGACTTTTAATGAAATCTTTCCAGTATCAACACATTTTTTATAATCACACAAAATGGATTGTTTGATGATTAATGAATAATAATTGTATAATTAGCTTAGAGTATGCATAATTCGTCTTTTTTGTTTTCATTTTTATCTATCAACTATGCTACATAATATTTTAATCAGTAGCCATTATTTAACATTAATAATTGTTAACATGGGAATTTAAACAACCTGTTTGAGTGGAGGATAAGTGTTAATTTGTGTTCTATTTTTTTTTTTTTTTGAACTTAAGCCCAGCGACTAGCCATTATAGCTCTTGTAGAGATTTATCAAACACGTGTATGTGTGGCAAGGTTTTTAACTACTATGAACCCGAGTGGTCACCCATCCGGGAGCTAGTAGCTGTGGCCGTTTCTTACTCCCAGACGCAGGTAGCAGCCAACGCGCCGCCACGCCAAGTCACGATAAATGTTTTATTAAGAATATATTACCTATTGGGGGATGAGGTGAGGGGGATGAGGTGACCGAGTGGTCTGACGCGTCCGCTGCGACGCAGCCGGTCGCGGTTCGATCCTCGGCTACCGGGCGGCATTTTTCTCCGGACAAGTCGCGGTGACCGGAGAACAAGTGCTGCCATCCCCCACCCACGGGGCATGGCAGAAACCTACGGGTGCCCCATTCGAAATTCTGCCAAAAACAAACACACACGTGTTCCCCCCTACCGTCCCAAAAATATACAATACAAACCTACAATACAAATCCTACTACAGCTAATGGCCTCAGTTGCCGAAGCTTAAGATCAATAAAAAAAAAAAAATTACCTATTATTTTTAAGAATTATGTAATTTCTTATACACCAATTACTTCCGACTCATACCTACCAATAATTTATTAAAAAATACTCACATAATCGTTAAATCGTAACTTACTTACCACAGCATCCAGACACGTTTAACCAACTGTCGATCCAAATAATACTATACATACCTGATAGCTATAGCTAAGAAAAAATGTTCCATTTCATAAAAACGTCTACAACTATGGAGACTTGCGTAAGGTTTCCATTTAGAGAAGATATAAAAGTGTCATTGTCTACTCAAATGTCTACGACGCTTTTCCTTTCAAACCATTGTAGTTTGGAGTACATATTCTATGTATAACATAGCCATTATAATAAATGGATAAAAAAATATATTTTATAAATACAAACCCCATATTAATGTATGGTATTCAAAGAAAAAATATATTGACAACTAAAATGAAGTATCTATTTTTATAGTGCAGTGTTTGTTTTAGAATATTCCCGACCGATTAACGACATAATAATATAATAGATAATAGTTTGATGTATAAGAATAATTGTAGACATATATTTTTTTTTAATCTTCTAGTTATAGCTTTCTCAACAAATTGAATTCCTGGTAATCCCCCAAGACGTTTAAAGCTCAACTGGTGTAGAGATCTCTTAACTTAATCTGAAGAAAAAAATTTTTAAAAATTAATGAACTGATAAATTTAAAATATTCACTTAAAAGTGTCATCCCTGGGTGGCTTCTTTTACAAGACAGTATTCATGTTATTTATTTATTTAATCTAATACTCTTTCCGTACCCATTAGGAACAGATTGTGTATTTATCAATGGAGAAAAAAAAAACACTGTGGCTAAAACAACGAGGTTTTTAGCCATTTAAACTATATTATAGTAGACACTTGGTATATTCTATGTACATTATATTAAATATTGAAAAATAATGAACTTGGATTAATTTATGACACTACGAATTTCTTTTTGTGTTTATAAGACACGGCCATTCACAAGATTAATAACTATGGAGCCTAATTTTAAATTTATTCCAATGAAACGTAGATAATGTGATAATTATTTAAAAATATACATGTTGCGTCATAATTAATCAATGAAAAACGTTTAAATGAAAGACGTGAAAATAATTCAACTCCTTACTTATCCTTTCCAAAGTTTCTAGAAGCTGGTGAAATCTTATAATTAAAACAAATTATATTTTTGCTTAAAATTAATAAATACCTATTTTAAATTTTTTTTATTTTCATTCAGTTTAAATACTGTTCTTAATATTGCACCAAATTAATTGAAGGATACTGCAATTACTATTATAACGACCGTAGTATTGTAGCAAGGTGCTATTATTTGTGCGCTTTGAAATAAAATTCCGTAATATTAAAGTCGTTGTTTTGATCACTTATAGTAAAAATAAATAATTGATCTCATAACTTATAGTATCTCATAGGTACCAGTGTTGCTTATGAAATTGATCAAAAGTACTATAAAATATTTTT